ATGGGGCCACCTGCCATGACCGGGTGGCCTCCTTCTACTGCGAGTGCCCTCACGGACGCACAGGTGAGGCCACATCCCATCTTGTCCTCTGCTCATGGAGTGGGGTGGCAGCTCCTCATGTGTCCCATGGTTCCTATCTGAGGTCTCAGTGTGCGATGGCTTGTGAGCCCATCACCCTTGACGTGCTCCTGCCCTTTCCTCCCCAGGTTTGCTGTGCCACCTCGATGACGCCTGCATCAGCAACCCCTGCAATGAAGGCTCCAACTGCGACACCAACCCCGTCAACGGCAAAGCCATCTGCACGTGTCCTTCAGGGTACATGGGGCCAGCCTGCAACCAGGACGTGGACGAGTGCTCGCTGGGTGAGCACTGGGGCTGAGCTTGCATGGGCAGCTGAGGAGTGGCTGGGGAAAGCAGCGGCACAGCTGGGAGCATGTCCTGTAAGCTGTGCTTGTGTTTTGCAGGAGCCAACCCTTGTGAGCATGCGGGGAAATGCATCAACACCCAGGGGTCCTTCCAGTGCCAGTGTCTGCAGGGCTACTCGGGCCCATGTCAATGAGTGTCTCCCCAACCCCTGCCAGAACGATGCCACCTGCCTGGACCAGATTGGGGAGTTCCAGTGCATCTGCATGCCTGGTGGGTGGGCAGCCCCATGGACCCCTGCCCCTGCGCTGAGTGTGGGTGGTGGGAGAGCTGATGCTGAGTGTGGGTGGTGGGAGAGCTGTGGATGTGCTACAGGTCCCACCACCTGTAGCACATCTCCTGAGCCACCTGCATAAAGATGGGGGGACCAAATACACCCTGTTGTAACCTGCCCGTCCTGCACCTTGTGCCACGGTGCTGACGCTGTGCTGGGTCTCCGCAGGTTACGAGGGGATTTACTGTGAGATCAACACGGATGAGTGTGCCAGCAGCCCCTGCCTGCACAACGGCAACTGCCTCGACAAGATCAACGAGTTCCACTGCGAGTGCCCCACCGGTACGTGGCATCTGTCCCACCACCTTCATGGTGGAAACAAAGCTGTGGTGCATCCTGGCTTGAGCCGAGAAGGAGCCAAAAGTGGGCTCCTCTCATTTGAGAGCCCTCAAAATGGGGAGAGGGGACTGAGCACCTTCTGGTACTTTCCAGAGAGGGGTTCCCCCATTCTAGCGAGGGGCTGAGCCCCACATGGGCAATGCTGCACCGAGTCTGGCCCATGGGAGAGGGGAAGGAGGATTAAACCCCACGGCTTTGCACTTGAAAAGGCCCCTCTTTGGGAAGGAGGGCTGGGGGCCGGGGGGGCCGCGCCAACGGCATTGAATGTGGTGTCAAAGTCATGGGGTGGAGCGGAGAATGGGGAGACGGTTAATCTGTGAAAGGAGGTTTTGAAGTTCAGAGACTTTGCTCCTCTAGAGATGTAAATAAGATGCTCTCAATGGCGGGTCGCAGCCCCGCATTCAGGGCCCC